TGTGGATGAAGGGAAAGCAGTGGATGTATTGTTTCTTGACTTTAGCAAAGCTTTTGACACGGTCTCCCATAGTATTCTTGTCAGCAAGTTAAGGAAGTATGGGCTGGAAGAATGCACTATAAGGTGGGTAGAAAGCTGGCTAGATTGTCGGGCTCAACGGGTAGTTATCAATGGCTCCATGTCTAGTTGGCAGCCGGTATCAAGTGGAGTGCCCCAAGGGTCGGTCCTGGGGCCGGTTTTGTTCAATATCTTCATAAATGATCTGGAGGATGGTGTGGATTGCACTCTCAGCAAATTTGCGGATGATACTAAACTGGGAGGAGTGGTAGATACGCTGGAGGGGAGGGATAGGATACAGAAGGACCTAGACAAATTGGAGGATTGGGCCAAAAGAAATCTGATGAGGTTCAATAAGGATAAGTGCAGGGTCCTGCACTTAGGACGGAAGAACCCAATGCACAGCTACAGACTAGGGACCGAATGGCTAGGCAGCAGTTCTACGGAAAAGGACCTAGGGGTGACAGTGGACGAGAAGCTGGATATGAGTCAGCAGTGTGCCCTTGTTGCCAAGAAGGCCAATGGCATTTTGGGATGTATAAGTAGGGGCATAGCGAGCAGATCGAGGGACGTGATCGTTCCCCTCTATTTGACATTGGTGAGGCCTCATCTGGAGTACTGTGTCCAGTTTTGGGCCCCACACTTCAAGAAGGATGTGGATAAATTGGAGAGAGTCCAGCGAAGGGCAACAAAAATGATTAGGGGTCTGGAACACATGAGTTATGAGGAGAGGCTGAGGGAGCTGGGATTGTTTAGCCTGCAGAAGAGAAGAATGAGGGGGGATTTGATAGCTGCTTTCAACTACCTGAAAGGGGGTTCCAAAGAGGATGGCTCTAGACTGTTCTCAATGGTAGCAGATGACAGAACAAGGAGTAATGGTCTCAAGCTGCAGTGGGGGAGGTTTAGATTGGATATTAGGAAAAACTTTTTCACTAAGAGGGTGGTGAAACACTGGAATGCGTTACCTAGGGAGGTGGTAGAATCTCCTTCCTTAGAGGTTTTTAAGGTCAGGCTTGACAAAGCCCTGGCTGGGATGATTTAACTGGGAATTGGTCCTGCTTCGAGCAGGGGGTTGGACTAGATGACCTTCTGGGGTCCCTTCCAACCCTGATATTCTATGATTCTATGATTCTATGACTTCCAGGCACCATTGCTGTGAGGTGCCTAACCCCTATTGACTTTCCACGGGAGTTAGGAGCCTAGTGGCTCCTTCTGCCTTTGGAAATCTCCCTTTCTGCCTCTTGCCTCTGCAGGTGGATGTTCCCCTCCCCCGGTCAGGGTGCCCCATTTGGGGGTCAGCAGTGGACAATAGGTCAGGGTTAGCTAAGCCTGGACTAATCTCAACCTTAGCCCTGCTCTAGGTGCAGGCCAACACCTCCTGCCTCGATTTCTCTGGTCCATGTTGACCCCCAGGATCCCCGAAGGCTGATCTCGACCAGTGAAATTGAGGTACAAGGTGTTAACCTGCGTCTAGACTAGGGAAAAGGTCATGTTAGGTTTGGGTTAGGTAACGTGTGTGCACCAGGGCTCAGCCTAGTCTCAGCCACAATAACCTGTTCTCACCAACATATACACACTGAGAACGTACAAGGTCTGTAAGACAGGTCACCAGAGAGGGGCAGGTTCTGTTCCGATGAGGGATAGGAGACAATGCCTGTAGTCTGTATTGTGTGTCTGACCGTGGAAGTCAAAGTGCATATGGAATCACCAGCTAGTCAAGATTGCAAAGTCGATCAGAGAGCACAAAAAGGAAGGAATGTGCAGCAGGAGGGTGTCCAGTTTAGGACTAAGATCAAAGAATTCGTCAGGTCTATCAGGAGAACGCAGGGAGACATCACCCAGGATCTTTCACCTAGGAAGTGAGCTGATGGTGGGCTTGCTTCATGAATGGAAGATCACAGCCATGCCAGGCTGTAACACACTGGGAGGATTTTGGGTTAGCTTCTGCTCTGATGACATCATAATGTCCCATGAGTTAAGCTGAGGCTTTAGAATGTGGGCTCTTGTTTTATTTTATCTGTAACCCGTTGTTTCCAGTGCTGCTACCGGCTGCCATCGGCCTCTCTGGTCTTTGTTAAATGCACGTACGCTTGCCTTCTCTATATACGAATCTCAGCGCCGCGTGCGAAGTGGAGCTAGGGTGACCATATGTCCCGATTTTATAGGGACAGTCCTGATTTTTGGGTCTTTTTCTTATATAAGCTCCTATTACCCCCCACCCCCGTCCCGATTTTTCACATTTGCTGTCTGGTCACCCTAAGCAGAGCTGTGTTCCCAGGATAACTAGTAAGCTTTGCAGTACTGCTCCTTTGGGAACCGCGGGTCTGTCATTCAGCGAGTGTCCAGGGGCTCCAGGGCTGGACACCGCAGGGGATGCTCGGAGAGCCCGGGGCTGGAGCGTGTCTGTTGCTAACCTGCAGAGGGGGAGCGGAGCCTGCGTAGGCTGAGAGGGGGGTGCTGGTGATGGGTGGGGGTGCTGGGAGCTGACCCGCCAGGCACAGATGAGGCTGCCTCATGCTAAGGGCAGGTGCTAACGAGGGGCCTCCCAGCCCTGGGTACCCCTGGGAAGTGTCACGGGGCATCGGCTGCCTTCTGCATATTTACTGTGGTATAGGGGGCCTTCAGTAGCCCCCTAGGGCTGCTGGAGCTTGTCACCCGTCCCCCCCGAAGGACCCTCTCCTCCTCCTCAGCTGGTGGGGCTGGGGCTGCCAGAACGCACAGTGTGCTCAGTTGGACACAGGTGAATTCAGGTTTCCTGGGGCCCTGAGCCAGAGCAAGTGGGGGGACCCCTCCCCACCCCTTCTGCCTCAGTCCCGCCCACAGTCCCACCCCTTTCTGCCACTTGCCCGGGGCCCATCCTTGTTCTACCCAGGGTCCCCCATTCCACCCACCACTACAGCCCCGCAACCCCTTTTGCTCCATTCTGCCCCCCCACTGCAACCCCAAGACCAGAGAAGCTTCGTCCCCCCCGCCATGGCCCCAGGGCACAGTGGGGAGTGAGAGCTTCTCCAGTCCCAGAGTTGTAGTGGGGGTCGGGGTGCTGGGGCTCGCCCCGACACCTCCCGCGCTTCTGTGGGGGACCAGAGTCGGGGCTTCTTCTGCCCCGCCAGGAGCTTCTGCTGGAGAATGGAGTCAGGTGCGGGAGATTTCCCTGCCGCCACCGGCTTCTGCCAGGGATGGGTCGGGCCTGTGCCACTGGGCGGGGGGGACTACGTCCCACGGCTTCTTCTGGGTCAAGTTTGGGGTGGGGCGCTGGGGGCTTCCCCTGCTGCTGTAGAACTGATCAATTAAATTGTTTTTAATTGTTCACTTTATTAATATAACTTCATAAGTAAAGTTTTATGAATGAAACAACATTCATTCATAAAACCAGGTACCCCAAGAACTGGCTAATTGAGTTTCACTTGCAATCCAATTGCTGCTTAAATCACTGAAACTTGCACGGCTTCAACATGGGAACTTCTGCTCCCAGTTTGCCATTCCTTACACGTGTCCACGGTGTAACCCAAACTCCATTTTAACTTGTCCCAAACTCCATTTTAAAATGCTCACTTCATTTTTGCAAAACCCTGCTGTAATCTGATTCGTGTAGTTCAGATGTGGGAATGAGGGATGGATGGATGATGGAATCAACCTCCAGCCCCAGCTCATCCTGATGAAATAAAGTGTAAACACCAAGGGCTGAAGATGCAGACAACAGCCCTGACAAAGCAAGAGGAGTCCACCCTCAAAAGAAAAGAACAAAAGTACAATTGAAGAAACATCAAAGCCAGGTCCCAGGCTGAAAGTCACGTCTGCAATTGACGGGGGATCAATCACACCGGACCCAGAGGCAGCGTGACACCGCAAGACCTATAGACCTTCTAAATGGAAAAGCACCAGGTTTAAGATGGATTCCAGGACCAGGTGACATGGTCACATGTCCTGTGAGACCCCAACCTTCATTCTTCCAGCGCTGGTCTGCACGTACCCAGGAAGTTTTGCAAGTAAACAGAGCCATTCATAACCAATTGTCATAGGTAATTGGAGCCATCAAGATACCAAGCCACCACTAATGGCCCACAATTTGCATAGTTACAATAGGACTTCAGAGTTATATTTTGTATTTCTGCCTTTAGATACAAGAATTATACATTCATAGAAATAGGATGAACACACTCAGTAGATTATAAGCTTTGTAATGATAGCTTACAAGAGACCTTTTACATAAAGCATATTCCAGTTACATTATATTTATACTTATTAGCATATTTTCATAAACATATGGAATGCAATGTCACAATAAGAAACTGAGTTCACGTTTGTGTGTGTGGGGTAAGGTATGTATTTCTTTTTACTTGGTAAGAAGAATAGGCATATGATTACCACATGGCCAGAGCAAGATTCATTTCATTTTATTTAATGTGGGTTTTGTAAATATTGAAATAGATAAGTACATTGTTGCTGGGTTAACTGATATTTTTTTTTTGTTATGAGGCATCTCATCTGGGGATGGGAGAAATTTTTAATGCAAATTCAGTTCTTATTGTTGCTTTGTGTCCTGGACACTAAAATACACACCTCATGACACACACCCGCCTTAACTCAGGCTTGTTCTTATTTTGAAAGCTTTTCTCCTCCGGGTGTCACTATAAGACAAGAACCACAGGACACCACGAGGTGGTTTGAAAATATAACTAAGTATTTTAGTTCATTTGCTATGGTATTAGCATACCAAAAAGTGTATATGACATATCGAAAAAAAATTCCACATACTTCATTTTGTAAGGATACCATTTCTATGTGAGGAACGGATCATTTTGATGTAGGTTATTTCTTATTTGAACACTGGGGACGTTGGTTTTAGGCTCAATGTTCTCATAAGTTGCTGCTGTTCACCACAAGCTGACTTCCTGTAAAACTCCCAATTGTGTATTTGCTGATCAGTGGCTTTGGCTCACCCCACATCACGTATAAACAGAAGGAAGTTTAAATCATGCTCTTTTCATTTTCACATTTGTCCTCAGTCTATTCAGCTATTAATCTGACACTGCTGTTAAAGAAACTGGCAGCCAGTCATTCTTGATTAACACCAGAAGCCTGAAGGACAGTGAAGAAATTGGAAATATTGGCTTAATCTGAAGAAATAATGATTTGATCTTCAAGCTGAGCCTTCAACATAGAGGTAGCATTAGAGAGAGAGTGTGTGTGTGTGTGTCTGTCTATCTGTCTGGGCAGGAACAGGGGTGAGGAGATGTGTGAAGGGGTTGTCTGTGTGGGCATTTAAGGTAAATTTAAAAATTGGTTACAAACCTGAAAATGCTGCTGAGTTACCAAGAGACAATGCAGTGAGCATGGTGATCTCTCTCTGGGCATCAATTCTGCCTCATAGCTATTCCCAAAGGGTAGAAGGGAACAGATGGGAAGAAATTATTAAAAGTTTTAAGAGAATTCATCAGATTTACAGGTGATAGAAATAGTTAATTTGAACAGCTGCAATAGCCTCTGAGCAACCGGGTCCATTTCTGGGCAGCTATATTTATCCCAGGTTTGAGGAGATGCAAAGGTCTTGTTATACCTTTTCCCCTGTGTCAAGTTTAGCTCTGGGACAGGGATGAACTGGGTCCTCAGACCCTCTCAGAAGTCATTGACCACCCCATAACCTAGCTGGTAGGTAGAAGGACTTCTGAATTTTTGGTTAGAAATATACTATTTCTATACTATTTATAGAAATATGCTGTTTTGAATCATTCATCAGCTAAGCGGTGAGAATAGGACAGGAAAGTGAGAGTTTTAATGATTCCAGCAATTGATGGGAAGAACAGCAGCTTGAATTTTCAGAGGTCATACTATACTATCTAGATCCTAAATCTGTTACAAAAGTATTTTTGAAAAAAATGTAAGCTATTTGAAGTAATGCTTTAAATGGTTAAATCAGGAACCATTTAAGATAATTTCAGTGAATTTCTTTACTTGATTTTGAACTTGTTAATTTTCCTAGTTTTGTATTTACCTGTAGATGATCTGACATACCAGTCACACATTTGATCATATATCAGTTCCAAAAATATACGTCAAAAAATCCCTACTGAGTCACCACTTGATAGAGAATTTTGTTGTTCAGTGTGCGTATTCTTCAAAACAAACCGGCAAAATGCAAGTTTTGTTGGCTGGGTGTGGATAGAGTTGTGATGAAATTTGATCTCTATCAACATCTTTTCTTATTTGCCTTAGAAGAACGTGTGGAGTCAGAGTAAAACCCTGAAGAGCTACTGATCTGAGGCTCTGATCCTGCAAACATTTATGTGCCATCTAAATCAATTTGGACACCTCGTGTTGTTAAATTTAAGCGTGCGTGTTAGTGTCTGCAGGATCAAGGCCTTAGCTTAGAACAAGAAACAGTGAAGCAAATGAACAGAGGCAGGAAAGGCTGCGGGAGTTGCGGGTGATAAAGGGGCAGGGGAAATAAGTAATTCAAGCACTTCCTGTTATAGTTACTACATATGACAAGAGGTGAGAATACTTAACATTTGTTACATATGTATTCCCAGAGAAAAAGCTACGTTAGACTGGAGTTCAGGTTAAAGAATATTTATTACAAGAATGTTGCAATTGCCCTAAAAACAAGTAGTACAAATTGTGCAAGTTCAGAGTTAAGGTTCAATTTTAAAGGAATCCAAGTGTGTTAAGATATGGAAATGCTCAGTGCGAGCACCCAAAGTAGTTTTGGAGAATTCAAGCTCTGCTGAAGAGGAAAGTTAGGAGTTTAAACACTACATCTAAAATATGTAGCTTCCTAGGAGCTACTGTTTCAAATTTACAAAAAGAAAAGGAGGACTTGTGGCACCTTAGAGACTAACCAGAGCTGTAGCTCATGAAAGCTCATGCTCAAATAAATTGGTTAGTCTAAGGTGCCACAAGTCCTCCTTTTCTTTTTATGAATACAGGCTAACATGGCTGCTACTCTGAAACCTGTTTCAAATTTAGTTCTCAAGATGCTGTAGATAAAATAATTTTCATGTAGCTTAGCATTTGGATTTCTCAGACCAAATCTGCAGTGCATGAGTTCTGTTGGCTGGGTGTGGACACTGTCATGATCAATTTTTTTGCACGTCGGATTTGTCCCAGTGTCATTGACCAAATTGTCTCCTTCCCCCACTCTAGCACAGAGACCTGCCCACTCGTTAATGGCCGCCCTTCGCCCCAGAGGCTGCTGCAGTGCCAGCATTTGTAAGTGGCAAACGGAAGCACTCATTTGTCCCTCTCGGGAACAGTCCAATAGAGCCGTAAGGGGGGCTCCATTGCATGCGAGACTTTTCCAGCGCAGCACTTGGGTTGCCCCTATATCAGCTGAAAGGTCCCACAGAGAGAGCACTAGTTCCAGAGTCTGGGCACCACTTTCCTGTATTTTCCTCCTGGCATCTAGATGTAGCAGATGCCTCACACCTCCGGCTTACTCCCCCTCCGGCTGACAATTACACTACCAGCCCCACCTTTCCATGCCCTACACCTGCCTCTTCAAGCAGAGCTGCCCCTCCTTTTGCTTTAACAACTGCTGAGATCTCACTGACCCTTTTCCCTGGCTAATCCCCAGGGTCTGGGGCATCTTGGCTGCAGGGGTTGCTGCTTCTTTACGAGCCTCAGAGAGCTGCTGCCTCTGGGCTCCAAACCCAGTCCCATTTCAGACCACTCCCTATTCTGTTTTCTGTCCCCTGATCCCCTGTGGCCCAGGCTCTGTGACTTCCTCCAGACCTTTATTCGGCACCTCTGCTGGGCTCTGTCCTTCACGCGGCCTCCCCATGCCAGCTCTCCAAGTGCCTGGCTTAGAAATCAGGAGAGTTTTAAAAGAATAAGTCATGTGGATTTTTTAAACTTCCCTGCCCAGCCACAGAATTGTGTGTGTGTGTGTGTGTGTGTGACAATGACAAGTAGAAACTTCAATCCTAAGTGCACAGAAAATGTGCAAAAACAAAGCCCCCAGCACCCCTACTCACCTCATCCCTGGCTCCCTTCCCACATTGCGCCTGGGACCCCCTGATTCCCATTGGCAGGCGCCAGTGGCCCTCAGTCCCCAGGACTCCAACAGATCCCAGCAGCTGCCCTGTCTTCAACTTGCACAGAAGGGGGCTTCCCCGTGCTCCTTCCTCCACTGAGGTGAGAGGAGGTTTGCTGCTGAGCTCCGAGTGAAAAGGGGACGGGGCTGCTCCGCAGCCCTTTGCCCAGTTTGAGCCTCTGCCCAGCTCACATCAGAGGGGCAACCGGGTACTGCCCCTGACTGCTGCTGCATATGGCACAAGTAGCACAGCAACTGCGGGTGGTCAGAAGATGACGCTGCAGGTGAAATCCCCGAGCTGCCCGGGATCTCAAGCAACCACCAAAATCCACCCAAAATTACAGTGTTGTGTGTCGGCAAACAGGCCCCTGCTCCAGAAATTGGGATGCTTGCTCCTGGCAATTCCTCACTGGCTCAGCCACACATGTGCTTCCCATGTCCACCTCCAGCATGGTAAGACCCCTCCTCTGAGCTCTGAATCCGCGAATTGGTTCTTACCTGACTGTTGGCTGGATCCTGAAAGAGAACAGGCCCTTTTAGAGGCTTTACGCCCACACGGAATTATTGGTCAGGAGACAGGACTGGGGTCTGCTGTCCCTCCCTTTCTAGTGACCTATGGCCATCAGGTGTACTCCTTGGGGGAGGAGAAGAAAAGTAGCATAATTGCTGCTCATCCGAGTATGTGAATAATTAGTGCAGGGTTCGCCATGCCCTTGTTCTAGCGGGGCCCTGCAGGATGGGTGCAAGAAGCCTTCCACCTCTGTGCTCCCTGAATCAGGCCTTTGACCAGTTCCAGCCCTTGAAACTGGTGGAAGTACATGCTGAGCTGTGCGCTCTGGGGATAGAATCCACACTATAGGTGGCTGGGAGGAGGCAGCCCAGAGACAAAAGCATCCCAAAGGAGGATACTGGATGCACACTTCCTCCCCCCCAAGATTATGCCTGCTGGATCTCCCAGTGGAGACCAATGACTAAATGCCAGTCTGTAATGGTAAAGTAAAGCAGAAAACTATAGGCTGCTTAGCCTGGCATTAGTCCTGAGGAAAATCCTAGAAAAGATAATATGGGATGCAACCAGTAAAGAATTAAAGGATGGAAACAATTAATTCTAATCAGCATGGTTTTATGGACAAAAATGAAATAATTTTTGATGAGATCACAAGTTTGGTTGATACACAGTAATGTATGATCATGTTCCTTTTTGGAAGGTTGTGAGTCTGGGGTCTTTGTCCAGTGGTGCAAGTAAACAAAAGATTTTGCCGGTATGGGAGGGGGAGGGCACACCAGCTAAGGGGGGGCATGTAACCTCCCCACATGACTCCGCTCCACCCCCAGCCCAGGACCCCCATGCTCTTCCCATCCCCTCCCCATCCCATGTTACCTGAAGGGAGGGGGACTCGGGGCAGTACAGCAGCTGGAGGAGCTGCTGGCAGTTCTGCTCCTTTCCCTGCTGGGGACTGTCACCTGACATGCTGACTTTACCTCTGAGCCGGTTTTTCCTGCCAGCTTGGGACTCCATAACCCTGCCTTGTTGAGCCAGACATGCTAGCCTACTGCAACACAGACCAGGGTCCGGTCCACTCCCCAGAGTTGCAGACTAACCAAAAACTGCTTAGCAGATCACCTATCTTCAGCACCCAGACACCCATTTCTCATTGGGATCCAAACCCCATATAAATCATTTTACTCTGTATAAAGCTTATACAGGATAAACTCATAATTTGTCCACCCTCTAATTCTGATAGAGAGATATGCACAGCTGTTTGTTCTGCCAGGTACTAATCACTTACTCTGGGTTTATTAAAGTGATTGTATTAAGTAGGATTTAAGGGGTCTCAATAAGACAGAACAAAGTAATTTACCATGCAAAATAAAAAAACCCATAAAGCCTTAGCCTAATACATTAAGAAACTGAATACAGGTAAATCTCACCCTTGGAGATGTTCCAATAAGCTTCTTTCACAGACTAGACTCCTTTCTAATCTGGGCCCAGTCCTTTCCCCGGTAAAGTCCTTGTTAGTTCCAGAAGGCATCTTGGGTGAAAAGCAGGGGATTTCACATAACTGCAGCTTCCAACCCCTTTTATAGCATTGGCACAAGGTGGGAATCCTTTGTCTCTCTCTGGGTTCCCACGCTTCCTTCTAAGTGGAAAAGCACCACGTTTAAGATGGAGTCCAGTATCATGTGGTCATATGTCACTGTAAGACTTCATTACCCACTGACTGGCATATAGGTATACAGGAAGGCTTACAAGTAAATAGAGCCATTTACAACCAATTGTCCTAGTTAATGGGAGCCATCAAGATTCTAAACCACCATTAATGGCCAACATTTTGCATTACTACAGTAGAACCTCAGATTTATATTTTATATTCCTAGTTTCAGATACAAGAATGATACATTCATACAAATAGGATGAACACACTCAGTAGATTATAAGCTTTGTAATGACACCTTCCAAGAGATCTTTTGCATAAAGCATATTCCAGTTATATCATATTCACACTTACAAACATTTTTATAAATCATATGGAGTGCAATGTCACACCAGCATAACGCCCAGTAACACTAACAGTTTTCTATCTGTTCCCATTATACTAACAAACCCACCTGGCCAGGCAAAAATATAAGCAGTGTTTTTGTCCTTTGTTTACACATATTAGTATGGATTCCTTTGTTAACATATATTAGTAAGAATGTAAAAAAGCAAACAGGCAAGCAAGACCCAAAATTGTATCTCAGGCAAAAATACAGGCTTGATTCCTACATTGTCATTAGCACTCCTAACACTTAACTACAGACTTGATTCTCCATCACTTGAGGTCTTTAAATCAAGTCCGGATGTCTTAAAAAATATGCTATGCTCCACCAAAAGTTATAGCTTTGTCACAGGAATTACTGAGTGAAATGCTTTGGCCTTTGTATGCAAGAGGTCAGACAAGATGCTCATAATGGATCCTTCTGGCCTTGAAACCTGTGACTATCTGTACTCTCTCCCTTGTGCCTTCCATGCTGAGTAGATCTTGTGTAAGAGGTAGTTTTCTAAAAAGTAATACTGAGGACTAGTGGTCATTTGTTCCTGTTATTCTTCATATCTGATCAGAAGTTGGAACAAAAAATCTTCTCCTTCAGAGAAACTCACCAAGAATATCCCTTTTTCAAAATGTCTGCCCTCTCCCACTGTTCCCAAAGTAACAGAGCCGCAGGTTCCCCTCAGTTATAATGCCATGTTTCAAATGGCCACTACCTTCTATTGTTTTGAATGAGAGTGAAGTCAAAATGCCCCCAGAGAAGATGTAACCTGTCATATCAAGGAAGTGTGATGAACTGGTGGGTCCAGATTCACAAGTCAGCTTAGGCATTGTGATGCTGAGCATTGCAACACTTACCTTTGGGCCCCTAGAAAAACCACAGGAACAACACTGTGATCCACAACACCTGAGTTAGGCATCTGGGCTCTCTGTACAAAGAATTGAGAAAGATTGGTGCCTTAGAATACGATTGACAAAGTCAGCATGCTAGGCGGGAAGGTGCCAAAGCTAGCCAGGGGAAGATACCTGCGAGAAGGGTGTGTGCTAAGCCCTGTCATTCTCTAGGAGACAGGTGTCTATTTATGCTGGGGATCCATGAACTGGGGGAAGATGGCCATTCCTCTGCCTAACTCGCATGTGAGGCCCGATTCAGTAGCCATGCTGAGCAGCTGCTTAACTCTGCACAACAAGGAGGATTTCCCTTGTAACCAGTGGTAAGGGTGCTCACCCAGGATATGGGAGACCCCTGGTTCAAGTCCCACCTCTTCCTGATGTGGAGAAGGGATTTGAATAGGGATCTGCCAGCTAGTCAGCAATGAGCTCCCGCTCCCTGGAGCGGACTGCAGTGTGAGAGCCAGTCATCATAGGCAAGGGGCATTTGGACCGGCTGCCTTTGTCTAGCCCCAAGCTACCCACATGTAGCCTCAGTATCTGCTGTGGGCCCTTATGCAAGGCCTCAGCCTGGGGAGTTGCAAGGCAAGAACTCCCTAGCCCCTCTTGTCTTTGCTCTGCTCTACCTCAGGTTGCTGTTCAGCTTCTAGGCAGCCAGGTCCTTTCCTCTCAGAAGCTAGAGAGAGAATGTGTTAAACTCCTGGCTCACTGGCCTTTTATATGGCCAGCTGCAGCCTGATTGGGGCATGGCCTCAGCTGTGGCTGCCTTCCCAATCAGCCTAGCCTTTTCTCACAGCAGCAGCCCTCTCTCAGGACTGGCTTTAACCCTTTCAGGGACGGAACTGGTGACCACCCTGGAATGGGGCATAAGCTTTCGTGGACTGGAACCCACTTTGTCAGATGCATCACAAGGGGGCCACTGGTTCCCCCAGGCTGTACCTCTGCTGAACCCCGAACACGAAAGCTTATGCCCAAATAAATTTGTTAGTCTTTAAGGTGCCACAGGACTCCTTGTTGTTTTTGCTGAAACAGATGAACACGGCTACCCCTCTGAAATAACTACCAGCAATCCCCTCTGGCCCTTCACCTAGCCAGTTTCTTGTGGATATCTCAGTATAATTAAAACTTGAGGAGGAATTTGAAGGAGAAGAGATTAGTGGCTTCATATACTATATGAGTGATCTCACTGATTTCAGTGGGACTATTCACATACCTAAAGTTAGGCATGTACTTAAGTGCTTTACGAGATTGGGGCGAGAACATTGAGGACTTAGCAGGACTGAGTCCTAAGGTAAAAGAGCAGATAAAGAGAGAGGGAAAGAATCAATGCCAAAGTGCAGGGTGCATTCTCTTCAATCTGATGCATGAAGAGTCAAACTGTCAGGTAAGTTCTTATTCCAGTTCTGATTCCTGATGAAAATGTATTTGTATACATAGAGCAGTACATAGGAATGGCCACACTGGTTCAGACCAAAGGTCCATCTAGCCCAGTGTCCTGTCTCCTGACAGTGGCCAATGCCAGGTGCCTCAGAGGAAATAAACAGGACAGGGCAGTTTATCGAGTGATCACTCCCCTGCCATCCTCTCCCAGCTTCTGGCAGGCAGAGGCTTAGGTACACCCAGAGCATGGGGTTCCATCCCTGAGCATCTTGGCTTATAGCCATTGATGGACCCATCCTCCATACCAGAGACTGATTTTCATATACCCACCTCAGCTTGAGTTACTGGCAGTTAGGAAAATTGATATGGCCCCAATCCTGCAAACACTTCCACGTGTGTGAATGTGGATATACCCATTGCCTTCACTGGGACTAGCCATGTTCTTAAACAAGACAAAACATGTTTGTAGGATCAGTGCCTATGGCTACAGTATAGTCAGACAAGATCAGAATTAAGGGTTGGAAGGGACCCCAGAATCTCGTCCAACCCCTGCTCAAAGCAGACCAATTCCCAGTTAAATCATCCCAGCCAGGGCTTTGTCAAGCCGACCTTAAAACCTCTAAGGAAGGAGATTCTACCACCTCCCTAGGTAACGCATTCCAGTGTTTCACTACCCTCTTAGTGAAAAAGTTTTCCTAATATCCAATCTAAACCTCCCCACTGCAGCTTGAGACCATTACTCCTCGTTCTGTCATCTCCTACCATTGAGAACAGTCTAGAGCCATCCTCTTTGGAACCCCCTTTCAGGTAGTTGAAAACAGCTATCAAATCCCCCTCATTCTTCTCTTCTGCAGGCTAAACAATCCCAGCTCCCTCAGCCTCTCCTCATAACTCATATGTTCCAGACCCCTAATCATTTTTGTTGCCCTTCGCTGGACTCTCTCCAATTTATCCACATCCTTCTTGAAGTGTGGGGCCCAAAACTGGACACAGTACTCCAGATGAGGCCTCACCAATGTCGAATAGAGGGAACGATCACGTCCCTCGATCTGCTCGCTATGCCCCTACTTATACATCCCAAAATGCCATTGGCCTTCTTGGCAACAAGGGCACACTGCTGACTCATATCCAGCTTCTCGTCCACTGTCACCCCTAGGTCCTTTTCCGCAGAACTGCGCCTAGACATTCGGTCCCTAGTCTGTAGCTGTGCATTGGGTTCTTCCGTCCTAAGTGCAGGACCCTGCACTTATCCTTATTGAACCTCATCAGATTTCTTTTGGCCCAATCCTCCAATTTGTCTAGGTCCTTCTGTATCCTATCCCTCCCCTCCAGCGTATCTACCACCCTCCCAGTTTAGTATCTCCGCAAATTGCTGAGAGTGCAATCCACACCATCCTCCAGATCATTTATGAAGATATTGAACAAAACCGCCCCAGGACCGACCCTTGGGGCACACCACTGATACCGGCTGCCAACTAGACATGGAGCCATTGATCACTACCCGTTGAGCCCGACAATCTAGCCAGCTTTCTACCCACCTTGTAGTGCATTCATCCAGCCCATACTTCCTTAACTTGCTGACAAGAATACTGTGGGAGACCGTGTCAAAAGCTTTGCTAACGTCAAGAAACAATACATCCACTGCTTTCCCTTCATCCACAGAACCAGTAATCTCATCATAGAAGGCAATTAGATTAGTCAGGCATGACCTTCCCTTGGTGAATCCATGCTGGCTGTTCCTGATCACTTTCCTCTCATGTAAGTGCTTCAGGATTGATTCTTTGAGGACCTCCTCCATGATTTTTCCAGGGACTGAAGTGAGGCTGACTGGCCTGTAGTTCCCAGGATCCTCCTTCTTCCCTTTTTTAAAGATTGGCACTACATTAGCCTTTTTCCAGTCATCCGGGACTTCCGGTTCGCCACAGTTTTCAAAGATAATGGCCAATGGCTCTGCAATCACAGTCGCCAGTTCCTTCAGCACTCTCGGGTGCAACTCGTCCGGCCCCATGGACTTGTGCACGTCCAGCTTTTCTAAAAAGTCCCTAACCACCTCTATCTCCACAGAGGGCTGGCCATCTCTTCCCCATTTTGTGATGCCCAGCGTAGCAGTCTGGGAGCTGACCTTGTTAGTGAAAACAGAGGCAAAAAAAGCATTGAGTACATTAGCTTTTTCCACATCCTCTGTCACTAGTTTGCCTCCCTCATTCAGTAAGGGGCCCACACATTCCTTGGCTTTCTTCTTGTTGCCAACATACCTGAAGAAACCCTTCTTGTTACTCTTGACATCTCTGGCTAGCTGCAGCTCCAGGTGCGATTTGGCCCTCCTGATAACATTCCTACATGCCCTAGCAATATTTTTATACTCTTCCCTGGTCATATGTCCAACCTTCCACTTCTTGTAAGCTTCTTTTTTATGTTTAAGATCCGCTAAGATTTCACCATTAAGCCAAGCTGGTCGCCTGCCATATTTACTATTCTTTCGACTCATCGGGATGGTTTGTCCCTGTAACCTCAACAGGGATTCCTTGAAATACAGCCAGCTCTCCTGGACTCCTTTCCCCTTCAAGTTAGTCCCCAGGGGATCCTGGCCATCCGTTCCCTGAGGGAGTCGAAGTCTGCTTTCCTGAAGTCCAGGGTCCGTATCGTGCTGCTTACCTTTCTTCCCTGTGTCAGGATCCTGAACTCAACCAACTCATGGTCACTGCCCCCAGATTCCCATCCACTTTGCTTCCCCCACTAATTCTACCCGGTTTGTGAGCAGCAGGTCAAGAAAAGCGCCCCCTAGTTGGCTCCTCGAGCACTTGCGCCAGGAAATTGTCCCCTACGCTTTCCAAAAACTTCCTGGATTGTCTATGCACCGCTGTTTGCTCTCCCAGCAGATATCAGGAAAATTAAAGTCACCCATGAGAATCAGGGCATGCGATCCAGTAGCTTCCGTGAGCTGCCGGAAGAAAGCCTCATCTACCTCATCCCCCTGGTCTGGTGGTCTATAGCAGACTCCCACCACTACATCACTCTTGTTGCACACACTTCTAAACTTAATCCAGAGACACTCAGGTTTTTCTGCAGTTTCGTACCGGAGCTCTGAGCAGTCATACTGCTCCCTTACATACAGTGCTACTCCCCCACCTTTTCTGCCCTGCCTGTCCTTCCTGAACAGTTTATAACCATCCATGACAGTACTCCAGTCATGTGAGTTATCCCACCAAGTCTCTGTTATTCCAATCACATCATAATTCCTTGACATCACCAGGACCTCCAGTTCTCCCTGCTTGTTTCCAAGGCTTTGTGCATTCGTATATAAGCACTTGAGATAACCTGCTGATCGCCCCTCATTCTCAGTATGAGGCAGGAGCCCTCCCCTCACAGACATTCCTGCCTGTGCTTCCTCCCGGTATCCCGCTTCCCACTTACCTCAGGGCTTTGGTCTCCTTCCCCCGGTGAACCTAGTTTAAAGCCCTCCTCACTAGGTTAGCCAGCCTGCTCGCGAAGATGCTCTTCCCTCTCTTCGTTAAGTGGAGCCCGTCTCTGCCTAGCACTCCTTCTTGGAACACCATCCCATGGTCGAAGAATCCAAAGCCTTCTCTCCGACACCACCTGCGTAGCCATTCGTTGACTTCCACGATTCGACGCTCCCTACCTAGGCCTTTTCCTTCCACGGGGAGGATGGACGAGAACACCACTTGCACCATATAGCTTGAACACCATATAGCTTGGTACTTAACCATATGCCTAACTCTAAGCACATGGGAGTAGTTCCATCGAAGTCACATATCAATAGTACTAATTGTGATTAAAGTTAAGCACATACTTAAGTACTTTGCTGAATCAGGGTCTTTATTTCTAAACTGGGAAAATTTGAGGAAAAAGAATGGTGGACATTAAATATTAAGAATCAAAGTGTCATTTTCAGAACCTCACTATTCTGGCCATAATCAAGATTTCAAGGCTGATAGAGGAGTATTTCTAATACTGTAGTTTCTAAATTCTGAGCTTGGAGGTAAAAGGATGTTTTAAATAAATAACACATTTTAATCTAAAAAGAAAAGGAGTACTTGTGGCACCTTAGAGACTAACCACTAATAGCTCTAAGGTGCCACAAGTACTCCTTTTCTTTTTGCGAATACAGACTAACACGGCTGTTACTCTGAAACCTGACATTTTAATCTATTTCAGAGAGAGATGAAAGAGAGGAAGAGCAAAGGAGGAGCCATAACCTATGGTGAGAAAAGAAAAGGAGTACTTGTGGCACCTTAGAGACTAACCAATTTATTTGAGCATGAGCTTTCGTGAGCTACAGCTCACTTCATCGGATGCATACCGTGGAAACTGCAGTAGACATTATATACACACAGAGAATATGAAACAATACCTCCTCCCACCCCACTGTCCTGCTGGTAATAGCTTATCTAAAGTGATCATCAGGTTGGGCCATTTCCAGCACAAATCCAGGTTTTCTCACCCTCCACCCCCCCACACAAATTCACTCTCCTGCTGGTGATAGCCCATCCAAAGTGACAACTCTTTACACAATGTGCATGATAATCAAGTTGGGCCATTTCCTGCACAAATCCAGGTTCTCTCACCCCCTCACCCCCCTCCCAAAAACCACACACACAAACTCACTATCCTGCTGGTAATAGCTCATCCAAAGTGACCACTCTCCCTACAATGTGCATGATAATAAAGGTGGGCCATTTCCAGCACAAATCCAGGTTTTCTCACACACACCCCCCACCCCCATACACACACAAACTCACTCTCCTGCTGGTAATAGCTCATCCAAACTGACCACTCTCCAAGTTTAAATCCAAGTTAAACCAGAACATCTGGGGGGGGGGTAGGAAAAAACAAGGGGAAATAGGCTACAGAGTATGGTGAGAAAGTTACACCAAGAGCCTTGTTCTGGCCACATTTCTGTGCTTCATTCAGAGGACCTTCCTCTTCTCTGCACCAACTTTCAGTGGGAATTCCAGAGGGCTCTGTTCTGGGCCCCCTTCTATTTCCCCTTTGACCCTATTTATTTAGCACATAAATATTGTTTTACCTCTGTGCTGACAACTCACAAATCTCCACTTCTGACCTATCTCCTTCTCCTCAAACGAAAGTCTCAGCCTGTCTTTCTGACATGTCATTGGTGATGTCCAGCCTTCAAATCTATTTCAAAATGGCCATAACAGAGCCTTTAATCTTTCTCAGTAACACTCTCCACTTTTCTTCTCTTTCTTAGTTACTGTGCCCAGCACCACCATCCTCCATGTCACTCAGGCCTATGACCTGGGCATCATCTTTAGCACCACCATTTCTTTAGACCCTTACCTCCAGGTCATGTCTACATCTTGCTGCTTCCTCCTGCACAGCATCTCTCGGATTCAGCCTTTCCTTTCTGTCTGCCCTGCTAAAACTCTCCTCCAGGCCCTGTTTATCTCTCAGCCTCCTCTCTGGAGGAGCAGTCTTACTCCAAGTCTACCCATTGAATATAGTATTGCATAAAACATAGAATCATAGAATCATAGAAGATTAAGGTTTGAAGAGACTCTGGAAGTCATCTAGTCCAACCCCCTGCTCAAAGAAGGACCAACACCAACTAAATCATTCCAGCCAGGGCTTTATCAAGCCGGGCCTTAAAAACCTGTAAGGATGGAGATTCCACCACCTCCCTAGGTAATCCATTCCAGTGCTTCACCACCCTCCTAGTGAAATGGTGTTTCCTAATATCCAACCTAGACTTCCCCCACTGCAACTTGAGACCATTGCTCCTTGTTCTGTCATCTGCCACCACTGAGAACAGCCAAGCTCCATCTTCTTTGGAACTCCCCTTCAGGTAGTTGAAGGCTGATATAAAATCCCCCCTCACTCTTCTCTTCTGGGGACTAATCAAGCCAGTTCCCTTAGCCTCTCCTCATAAGTCATGTGTCCCAGCCCCCTAATCATTTCTGTTGTCCTCCGCTGGACTCTCTCCAATTTGTCCACATCCTTTCTGTAGTGGGGGGACCAAAACTGGATGCAGTACTCCAGATGTGGCCTCACCAGTGCCGAATAGAAGGGAATAATCCCTTCCCTCGATCTGCTGGCAATTCTCCTACTAATGCAGCCCAATATGCCGTTAGCCTTCTTGGCCACAAGGGCACACTGTTGACTCATATCCAGCTTCTCATCCACTGTAACCCCTAGGTCCTTTTCCGCAGAACTGCCGCTTAGCCAGTCAGTCCCCAGCCTGTAGTGGTGCATGGGATTCTTCCGTCCTAAGTGCAGGACTCTCCACTTGTCTTTGTTGAGCCTCATCAGATTTCTTTTGGCTCAATCCTACAATTTGTCTAGGACACTCTGGACCCTATCCCTATCTTCCAGTGTATCTACCTCTCCTCCCAGTTAGTGTCATCTTCAAATTGGGTGAGGGTGCAATCCATCCCATCATGCTGATCATTACTGAAGATGTTGAACAAAACCGCCCCTAGGACCGACCACTGAGACACTCCGCTTGATACCGGCTGCCTACTAGACATCAAGCCATTGATTACTACCCATTGAGCCCGACAATCTAGCCAGCTTTCTATCTACCTTATAGGCCATTCATCCAATCAATACTTTTTTAACTTGCTGGCAAGAATACTGTGGGAGACCGTCTTCCTGGCTCATTGCTTCAACAATATCACCCTTCCTCTTTGCTTTCTTCCACTGGCTCCCCCTTTTCCACCCCTTCCACTGTCTTTAATTTTAAGTCCCTTCATAATCTATGTCTGACCTACCTATCATCTCTCATACAGTAAGGGGAAGTGGACTTGCACCTCCACTCTGCCAGTGACGCTAGCCTTTATCACTGTCCAATTTTTGGAAAGGCACTTTTGCAAAGTCTCCCATGCCACCACCTGCACATGTCAGGAGCTCTCTGTAAAACTGCAAACATTATCCTCCTTTACATTTCTCCCTAAACCCACCTGTGCCATGGTGCCTGCAAAACACATGACAATGGTGAGGCAGCTTATGTGCTGTATTCAGGGATAACAGTCTCACAATTATCTTTTGCTCCCTCCATCTGTTTCTTGTACTGACTTGTAGTCTCTGTATTAAATTTACATTGTAAGCTCTTTGTGCCAAGAAGTGTCTTTTGGTCATGACCTCCACCTCGTTGGTGAAGTGGTTCCTGGAGGTGGGGATCATCTGTTGTGACTTCTCCTCACCACAGCAGGGGTCATTTTGTATGGGATGAGCAGGAAAGATCCTGTAGTGACCAGAGCACTGGACGGGACACAGGAGATGGGTTCAAATCTTGGCTCATCCACAGACCCTCTGTGTGACTTTAGGCAAACCACTTAGTCTGCTTCTGTTCCTCAGTTTCCCCTCTTTAATATTGGGGTGGTTTCCCCTTATTTCCCAGGGCACTGTGAGGATATATCCAGGAATGATTGTAGGGCACTCAGATACTGTGGTGATAAGAGCCATATAAACTCTAGGGTCCTAGAGTCTAGATCACCACATTGTATTCTCTTCAGACTCTTGTATGCCCCTCATCTCCATCGAACCATTGGCCAGAATCTGTGGGCTGAAGGAACAAAAAAAGGTTCTGTACAATATATTTTTACATTTCAGTGGGTGTGTTGAATTTTAAATGTTCATAAATGTAAAGGGAAAAATCAGGTAAACTTCTGCAAACACCCTCAGTCCTGACCTCCACCCCCACTCTCCACACACAGATCTTAAGCCCTTCAACCACAACTTGAAACCTTCCTTCCTGCTATCCCAGGCTTGGTGTGTGCTTGAATGGAGAATGATAGATTTGCTTAATTGTGTTGTGGTTTAATGATGTGGCTGAATAACCATTAATAAGGATAAAAAGAGAAATTGGATTCCACTAGTGAACTCATCTAATCTGAATCAGTGTCCCCACTGGTCAAAGGCTCGTGTTCTGACCCATCCTGGGCCTCACAGCTATAATTATAGGAGTAGAAGTACTACTCAGGTTCTTACTCTGTCAAACTTGTTCCCAGCAGACCCAGATATGCAATCAGAACTGAGACTCATCCTTGTTGGTAAAAGTGGAACTGGGAAAAGTGCGACAGGAAACTCCATCCTTGGGGAAAGAAAGTTTGAGTCCAAACTCGGGGCAAAGTCAGTAACTTTGACTTGTGAAAAGGGGCAAAGGAGCTGGAATGGGAGGGAGCTTGTGGTTATTGACACACCTGCCATTTTTGACAGAAAGGTTTGTGATACAATAACCTCAAGAGAGATTGGTCGCTGTATTGCACTCTCTGCCCCTGGCCCCCACGCTCTGCTGCTGGTGACCCAGCTGGGCCGTTACACTGAGGAAGACAAGGACGCAGTGAAGCGAATAAAGAAGATTTTTGGAGTTGAAGCCGTGAGGCACATGATTGTCCTGTTCACCCGGAAAGAAGATTTAGGGGTTGACTCAGTGCATGACTATGTGAGAAACTCAGATAACAAAGATCTTAAGGGGCTGATTCAGAAGTGTGGGGACCGATATTGTGCTTTCAATAACAAAGCAACTGGAGCAGAACAGGCTGAACAGGTTTCTGAGCTGACTGAAGTGATCCAGGGAATGGTTCAGGAGAATGGGGGCAGGTATATCAGTGAGATCTATTTAACTGAACAAAACAGGAGACACCTGATGGGAATAAATAAAACAGCTGCAGTGAAGACTGTGAAAGCAGATGGTCCAAAGTATAATGACATTATTTTGGGCTTCGGGGTTGCTGCAGTTTGTATTGTTGTTGTTGTATTTCTCCTGTTTTATCTCCCTCATTAACAGCCATTAATAAAGTTTCATTGTAACCTAACCCAACTGCTTCCCAAAGCTTCTCAGCTTCTCCGGCACCTCACTCTTATGCTAGTGCAGCACGTTCACACAAAATACAAGTAATAATGTTAATATTTCTTCCTTATTAACATTACGTATTATAATAATATCGAGTTCTTATATAGAGATTTTCATAAGTAGATCTCAAAGTGCTTTACAAAGGAGGCTGGTATCATTCTCCCCATTTTATAGATGGGGAAACTAAGGCTCAGAGAGGTGACGTGATTTGCTCATAGTCACTCCGCAAGCAAGTGGCAGAACTGGGAATAGTCCAGTGGTCCAGCCATGAGGCCTCAATATTAGGTTGCTTTAAAGATTCTGGACCAAACTCTGCCCTCACTTACCCTGCATTTGCAGTAGTTTGATTCCATTAATTTCAGTGAAGTAATCTGGATTATGGCCATGTAACTGCTCCCAGGTACTCTGGAGTTGCAGTGGGGTAGCTCTATTAATTTCAGTGGAGTATTGTGAATTTACAGTTATGCAACAGACTACAATGTAGCCCTCTGAACAGAGGTGTCAAATAACTTCAGTTGTTATGTAAATTTACAGTAGTTCAAACTCTGAGACATTGAGCACTGTAAAGTTTCCACTAAAAATTAAATCTCAAACATTTAGAGGCCAAACTTAGACCTGTGAGTAGATGAAACTCCATTGGCTTCAGTTACACAAGGAATTAATGTGGCCCATGAAGTGTACCCTCATTTGATATTTTGAAAGCAAAGAGTATAAAATCACCAGAGACATGCGTATGAAATATGGTAATATATGGAATTGTTACTTTAAAAAAATAATCTTCAGTTTCTTTCTCAATTAGAACTGCTGCCAAATACAATGGCAATTTCCCCAGAATATAGAGATCAGCATTTGTCCAGTATCTTGTGTGAACAAATCATGAGAACACCAAAAACTTTTCTGCAGCTGAAATCCGTGTAATAGAACATCTGGCAGTGCTGATTCAGGGAATGCAATTCATTTTTGTGGAGATTTCTGTTTCCAGGCTCTGACCTCAGTGATTTTTCAGGACTGTGGGTTATGTAAATTTGCAAACAAAAGGTGTCACTCTGGTTTTGATGCACAGTTCTGCTTCTTTAAGTGTAAACGGGTCTCCATAGCCTGCCTGCAAGGGCCGTGCTGTGAGGCAGTTCAAGATGGAGGATATTCCAGAGACTGAAGCTGGGCTGTTACTCACATCGAAACTTTATATTTGTTCTGATTTTTTGCTGTTTTTTCTTACTCGGAAATAAAGTTGTAGAGATTGAAGTTTGGTATTGTTCTTAATGCATAAAGATGAAAGATAACAGAATTTGAGAATAGAAAAGTGAAACCACAAATGTAGATGCAGGGAGAAATCTTCTGTGTTTCATGTACTGCATTTTGGGTAATAACATGAGAGGAATCTATGACAGGTTAGAGCCCTTTGGGATGCCACCTGATGTACCATGGTTTCACTGAGCCTCTCCTGCCCAGCCAGCCTGGATTCCCTCTCCCTGTTTTGCTGAATTAGGCTCTCCGGCCTCTTGCAGCACACACACAGGTAGGGTCACAACCAACTGCTGACACAGACTGAAATCAGCTCTGTGTGAAAGGGCACCAGCAGCACTCACGTGCACACCCCTAATAACACTGTCTTGCCCTGTATAGGAAGATCTGCACAGTGCAAACTCATAAAAATTCACCCTCTCCATCAGTGTGAAGCGAGATATGCACAGTCTCTCCCGCCCTCCAATTATAAATTGCACAAACTGGGTTTAATAATAAACAAAACAAATTAACTATAAAATGCAGATTTTAAGTGATTATAAGAGATAGCCAACAGAATAAAGCAGATTACCTCAGTAAATAAACAGAAACCACAAACTGATCTTAACACACTAGATAGGTAGGATACAAATTACCAAATTCTCACCCTGGGTCAAAATCAGGCTGGCAGATTCTTAAGGCACAAGCTGCCTTGGCTTTCCCAGGCTTTCATACACAGGCTAAAAATCTTATCCTGGGACCATCACTTCCCCCAGTTCAGTCTTTGTTCTCCAGGTGTTTCCAGGTGTGTTTTTGCAGGGAGAACGAGGTCCCCTCATGTTGTCATTGTCCCCCTTTTATATCTTTCCCTCACTTGCTGGAAAGCTCTTTTGCTGTGACCTGGGTCAAACAGTTCCCATTGTGTAGAGCTCTCTCTGAGAGGTTTCTATTGCACACAGTTCCTGGGGTAATCCTTACGTTTTTGCACATTTCCTCAATAACCCGTAACGTAGCACATTTGAAATACAGAGACATGGTCAATATCCCCAGCTTCAGAAACAAAAATGATACATGCATGCAAATTAGATAAACACATTCAGTAGATCATAACCTTTTCAATGATATCTTACATGAGCCATCTTGCATGAAGTATATCTTAGTTATGTCATATTCATATTATACCCATATTTCTAATAAGAATATGGGATGTAACCTGTGTCCATGCATGAAAACTGAAACTGGGCTCTTTAATAAAGCAATTATTTACAGGGCTGCTCCTACTGATACTTAGCATTCTAGCCAAGTACACACAGACTGACTTCCTGGTGCTACCTCCAAATCCTTCCCTCCTGCAACCTGTACAACTCCATGCATGTTCCCAAATCTTTCTGTTTAAAAATTAATTGTTTTTATTATGTCTTTGTGCAAACATTTCATTACTGGAAGGGTCAAAGGTTACTACTACATAGCCCATCCTCGGCACATGGGCTTTATCACCAGCCCATTGTGGCTGGTTAGGCATCATAGTCCTTCAAGTGTGCTACTCTTCAAACCAGTCTCCAACTTCTTTGTGTTATTGCTGTTGATGAGGGACTTGATTTCACCCTTTTGCCTCCTCCACTCTGTTGGGTGGCACCCTGATAATCCTCTGTATTGTTCATATTCCCATTACTTTCCCACTCTCCCACATCAGTCAAGTTGATGGCAGAGACTCATTCTAACTAAGCAATAATTGGATAAGAGGGAAGGTCCTCTCATGGATCATAACTGATTAAAAGACAGGAAACAAGGGGTAGGAATAAATGGTCAGTTTTCACAAGGGAGAGAGGTAAATAGCAAGGACCCCCAGGGATCTGAATCGGGACCTAGGAAGTTCAACATATCTATAAATGATCTGGAAAAGGTAATGAACAGTAAGGTGGCAAAGTTTGCAGACAATACAAAATTACTCAAAATAGATAAGTCCAAAGCTTACTGCAAAGAATTACAAAGGGATCTCAGAGAACTGGGTGACTTGGCAACAAAATGGCAGTTGAAATTCAGATTTGATAAGTGAAAAGTAATGCACATTGGAAAACATGATGGTGTCTAAATTGGCTGTTACCACTCAAGAAAGAGATCTTGGCGTCATCAAGAATAGTTCTCTGAAAACATCTGCTGAATGTGCAGTGGCAGTCAAAAAAAACTAACTGAATGTTACAAACCGTTAGGAAAGGGATAGATAATAAAACAGAAAATATCATAATGGCACTATATAAAGCCATGGTTTGCCCACATCTTGAATACTATATGCAGTTCTGGTCACCCTATCTCAAAAAAGATACATTAAAATGAGGAAAGATACAGAGAAGGGCAACAAAATTGATTAAGGGTATGGAACAGCTTCTTTATGAGGAGGGATTAAAAAGACTGGGGGACTGTTCATCTTGGAAAACAGAAGTCTAAGTGGGGAGATATGATAGAGGTCTATACAATCATGACTGATATAGAGAACGAGAATAGGGAAGTGTTTACCCCTTCACATAACACAAGTACCAGATATCATCCAATTAAATTAATGGACAACAGGTCTGAAACAAACAAAAGGAAGTATTTCTTCACACAAAGCATGATCAACTTGTGGAACTCATTGCCATGGGAAGTTGTGAAGGCCAAAACTATAACAGGATTCAAAAAAGAATTAGGTAAGTTCAGGGAGGGTAGGCCCATCAATGGCTATTCAACAAGATGGTCAAGGACACAACCCTATGCTCCAGGCCACTGTCAGAAGAGATGATACTGGACTAGATGGACCATTGGTCTGACTCAGTATGGTCATTCTCATGTTCTTATTTTCCCCTTGTTCTGACCTTAGCATTGTCTGTCCGGATGTGCCAGCTGTCTGCTGATACACCACAGTTGTCTCCATCATTGTCCTGAGTCTGGAGTTGCCTCACATGACCTGTGACCAACTTCAGCTTGGACTCTTGCATTTGCCTTTGCTTTGTGTGGCTGTTCAGTGGTCGGACCTAGACCTGCTCACCTGTCCATAGTGTCTGCAGGTCCTTGATTGCTTTGTTGTCTTCTTAGCTTGGTATCCTCTTAACTGCTTCTGTCTCCTGTCTGTTGGTCCTCTGCTGTGACTCACTCTATGCCTCATGGTAAGCAGGATCCCTTCCTGTCCATTTTGCCTTTGTCATCAGTTTCTTTGCTGTCGTTGCTGCTGTTCCCACCTTCTTGTTGCTTTGTGCGAATCCAGGGGATGATGTCGTAAGCTCAAATTCCCATTTGTGGCTGAATTGTTTGAGTTCTGTTGCAGGGTCCTGTGGCCCACTGTCTGAGACAGCGTGTCAGGTATGCCAGGCCTTAATGAATTAATGGATTCCAAGGCCAGAAGGGACCATTGTGATCATCTTGTCAAACCTCCAGTATAACACAGGCCAGAGAACTCGCCCAAAATAATTCCTAGAGCAGAACTTTTAGAAAAACACCCAACCTTCGTTTTAAAATTGCCAGTGATGGAGAATTCACCACAGCCCTTGGTAAATTGTTCCAAAGGCTAATCAGATGCACTATTAAAAACATACACCTGATATCCAGTCTGAATTTGCTGAGCTTTAGCTTCTAGCCATTGGATCCTGGTGTTACCCCTGGGTGCGCTAGATTGAAGCGCCCATCTTAATAAGTATGGCCTACGCACTTTTTCCTAGATCTGTGACCTTATATTTGGAATTGAAATGCGTATTGCTTGCTTGTGGATAGTTTACCACGTGATCCAGATCACTCTGTATACATGACCTGTCCTCTTCATATTTTTGCCACACCCGCAATCTTTGTGTCGTCTGACAATTTTATCATAAATGAGTTTACGTTTTCTCCCAGGTCATTGATAAAAAGGACAGTGTAGGGCCAAGAACTGATCCTTGTGGGAGAAACACCCAATCATTGATGATTCCCTGTTTACAATTACAATTCCCTGTTCTGAGACCTTTCAGTTAACCAGTTTTAATCCATTTAATGTGTGCCACATTGGTTTTCTATTGTTCTAGTTTCTTAATTCAAATTGTCAAGTTGTACCAAGTCAGGCGCCCAACAGAGGTCTAAGTATATTACATCAACACTATTATCTTTAAAAAGGAAGAGGAGTACTTGTGGCACCTTACAGACTAACACATTTATTTGGGTATAAGCTTTCATGGGCTAGAACCCACTTCATCAGATGCATGGAGTGGACGATACAGTAGGAGGATATATATATATATACATACAGAGAACATGAAAGATGGGGGTTGCCATACCATCTCTAAGAGACTAATTAATTAAGGTGGGCTATTATCAGCAGGAGAAAAAAAACCCTTAGTTAATTAGTCTCTTAGAGTTGGTGTGGCAAAAGAATCCTGAGTCCCATTCCTTTATCAATGCACTTGGCAGCTTTCTACCCAAATTTTCTCAGAGACCCTCCCTTGCACATAGTAGGGCGCCTCCTTCCCACAACTTCCTGATCAGGGAACCAGAGCGAGAGACCCCCAAGCTGAACTGAGGCAGGAAGCCTGCAGCCTGTCAGGACACAATGTGTGTGTGGTGGTGGGGGGAGGGAGAAGTAATGTTTGGGGGGTGGCAGCCGAGAGGGGACGGGGTGACTGTTCTAAGGGAGATGGTAGATTTGGCAGTGGTGAGGCTGCTTTTCACTGAGGGTGGGAAGGTTTCAGCAGCAGAGAGCACTCAGTGTCCTGTCCAGTGCAGGCCTCAGGACCATTTGTCAGTGATTGGGTTGAGACTCCTGTTATGTGTGACTCTGAACTAAAATTCTCACAGAACCAGGTTGGTGAAACCAAAGAGACAGCTCCTGACCTGTCTAGAAACAAAGCCCATGTTCATGGCCTGGGCAACAACTAAGGAGCCGTGCATGAGCTCACACTCCCAATTCAGAGAGAGCAAGGGAAAGAAATTCCAGCTCAGTGAAGGTGACATTCCCCCCTAAACACCCACACCCCCCCTACTGATTCTGCACATGCTTCAGATAGATAGACAGGAAGAGAGAC